AATCCAACAGGGTTTAATTGTCCTCTGGTTGTTCAATGAATCATGTCAAGGAGTTTATATGTGCCAAAGAAATTTGAACACTTAGAAGTAAAGAGAAGCAGTGGCATATTTCCTATGACAGATAGGAAACAACTTGAAGGAACATAATTTCTACTAAAGGAGAAAAGAGATTAGAAGGTATAGAAAATGATGCAATCCAAGGACTTAGGACAAAATTCGATGTCTCTTAGAACAAAAGATGAAGTCAGAGAGGCAGAAAAATGTCTCAGATTTTCAGTTGAGAAGCCAGTGGCAGTTCTGGGAGTTTCTAACTTAACTTTTGAGCATATTAGCAGCTTAAGTGCCTTTTAATGAGATGAACTCACAAATATATTAAAGTGGCCTTGCCTGTGTGGTTGATTTTAATAAAAGCTTCAATTTTGTTTTAGCCAAGTAAGAAGCTGGTTAGTATGTATGTATGTATGTATGTATGTATGTATGTATGTATGTATGTATTTACTTATTTTAGGTGAGGCAACCCTTGGTTGCAAGGACCTTGTCGGCTTACAATCCCTTATTTTTTATTTTTTTTACGCCTACAGCACCTGGTCTTCCTAGGTGGGCTCCCATCCAAGTACTAACCAGGCCCGACCCTGCTTAGCTTCTGAGATCAGACGAGATCGGGCTTGTTCAGGGTGGCATGGCTGTAGACTTCGTTATTTTTTTCTCATTAAAAAAATACACTTGTTGGCATTTTCCTGAGTGACTGTTATCTCATGTCAAAGGCATATATGCTCAGTTCATGGGGGAAACATCTGTGCTGTGGTTCGTCTCTTTTGTCCTCTTGTGGAAATAGTACACTGAAGGAAAACTGTTAAAATAGCATTAAGAAAAAGCCTTATATTTAGTATCAAATACAGATCCAAAATTAATAACAGGCTGGTATTTTATGCTTCCCTGAGATGCACTGCAAGACTGAAAAAATATGATTCTGTTATATCTGTCTTTAGAAAGAGTCACTAGGGAATCCAAAAAAGCCACTGTTAGAAGTAATTTGTTGGCTTCCTGACACATTAGGCTCATTATCCTGATCTAAGTACCAGCCTTTGGCACTACTTGCAATTTTCAGGTAGGTCATTAATGAAAGCTTAAAAAAAGAATGACTACAAAATCAGTCTTTGAGGTTATTTCACACATTCTCAATACCTAGGTCATTGAGTGAGTGATTTGTGCTTGAATGTAGAGAAACAGTAAAGCTGCCAGCCCAGGTACATGAAGGGCAACCTGGGTAGTCATCTCCAAATATACTTGACTCTCCAAATTGGTAAGGTAGCGATTATCACCCATAGGTGTAGAAATGTTGTTTCAACAGAGTCTTAGGAGAAAGATATAAATTGAACATATAGGTATAAAGAAGAATTTTGTAATTCAAGAAAAGATTTTACCAGTTTTCATAGCAAACTTCCTAAACCAAGCAGAGAATAATAAATATAGCAACAAAAGAAAGCACCTAATCAAGAAAAGGCAAATAGATTTTTCTCTTTCCTTGGGCTATGGTTGTTTAACATGTTTTCTCAACACAAATATACAATGATTTTATAATTTTTTACATCAACAAGTTTTTGAAATGCTCTTGGTTTTAGCTAGAGTACAGGGGTAAGAGGGTGGGCAGTACAGGAAGAAGAGGAGGGTTTAAAGTCTTTGGGAATTAGCTTGTGGGCCCTCTATCAAGTTGTGTCCAAATACTATCAGTTGGCCTATAGGGCTCAATGCTGTAGGAGGCTTAATAGTTAACCATTAGGGTGGCTTCAATCTCTTTCTAATTGGAAAGAACAACGCTGGTGTGCTTAAAAGAAAGTAGTTCCCACACTGAAGGCAGAGCCAGCCTATCATAATCTTTTCTATATCCTTTTCTTGACTGCTTGACACTTCTAAGACCGTTTGGGTGTGTATTTGGCATGTTCAGAGTAATCACATCTTACAAACACATGGAGTCCTGAGAAATCTTAGCTACATTTCCAAACTCAGAACAGTTATCACGGACAGATGAGAGAGATGTTATTCCTTTTTCCATTTCACCACGGTAAATTATGCTGAACAAGGGAACTACAAGGTTCATTTCACATTGTACTTCATCATTTTATCAGTGACATCAATCATTTTTATGCATCTATTAAATGGACCTACAAAGGGTTTTGTCATCTGGCACAGCCTGTTGCCTTCAGGCAGGTGACATTTGGTTCTTCTGTGTAAGTTAAATTTTACTGACCTCATACTGAAGGGCCACATTTGAACATGTTTCACTGTTACATCGATTCAGCTGAATCATAGATCAAACTGTAACATGTACAATAAATAAAAGACTGAAAAATATGTAGTTATCCTAAGTGCAAGTACAAATTTTGTCTTTGTTCTAATAGGAATTCATTATATATTTATTCATGAAATTTTCTTCCAAACCAATTAATTTGCTAGCAGTAAAATATCCAAATGAAGAAATTCTAATAGGAATTCATTATATATTTATTCATGAAATTTTCTTCCAAACCAAATTAATTTTTAGCAGTAAAATATCCAAATGAAGAAAAGGCCAAAAAGTTAACTAAACTGCAATTACACCTAAACCATATGATATTAAATTTGTAAGGTCACTATTGGTAGGTCCAAAGGCGTCTAAAATGACAGATAATATAACATCATTTTTAGAGCCACATGTTATATCAAAACCTGCAAGGATCTGAGACAAGAGGAGAAAGATTAAAGGACTAAGATGTGCTGATGTATCCACAGATGAGAACAGCTATCAAAAGGCAGCAGGCATCTGGGAAATAACTTTCTTTTCAGCTCAGGGGCCAGAAACACATTGGCATTGCCTCTGAAACTGGAACAAAACCAATTTTTAATTGGTTTTAAAATCTGGAATGGAACATTCCTGCAGTCATCCATGAACCGACCTTATCCCGAAGAAACTGAATGAATCTCGGCCAACCATCTGCCTTGTGAATTGTTTTTTGGGCCCCTTATAGGACAGAAAGTACTTGTTGTGCAGTAGTTTCACGTCAAGTTATAGTCCTTCATGATGTTGCTTGCGCAGAGAATTCAAAAAGAGAAAAAAATCTTCAGGGAGAGAAATCAAATGCCTTCACTAATATGCCCTGGGGCTGGATAGACCTGCAAGGCTGGGAGCTACATACCCACTTTTCTCCAGAGCATAATGATTTCCAAAAAGTACAGGCTATTCTTGCAGAAGAGAGGCAGCTGGACAAATAGAATGTTCCAGTGAAGGACAAACAAGGTATTTTAAGATTGATTTAATTTAAATTTCACTATTGTCACTCCAATGCTTTCCACAGCCAAATTTCTATAAAGTTTGATTGAATAAATGGTGACTCTTTTGAAATGTACATACTATGAAATTACCTCAGCAAAGAGTGTGTGGTAAGCCCACCCAGCTCTTCCCTCACAACAAGGATGGAATAAAATATTCTTCTTAACAGTCCCGATGGATAGGGAGACACTTTCTCTGATTCTTTCTTAAGTTCACTCTGCCCCTGCCACAGGGAACAGGGGTAAAAGAGGAAACTAAGATTACTCAACAATTTGTGAAACAAAACAAAATAGAAATAGAAAACTTGTCATAGATGAAGAAGGTAGTCTAAACTACCTTGTAAATTAAAAATCAACTTTTGGAGATTGGAAGTAGTTGAAATAAATAAGCCTCACCAAGAATTTTCAGATCCAAATGGCTGCCAAAGAAGTGAGAAGGTAAAAAGAGAAAGACAACTGAATTTAGCTGTTAAATAACAACCACCACTACCACAACAATAACAATAACAGCTTTTATGTATAGGGTTTTCTTTTTTTCCTCCCAAAAGAAGAATATTCCATTTATTAAAAAGAGGGAGCACAAGGTTGTATTTTTCAAAAAGCACCACTGGCACGAAACAAAGGAAGTCTGAAGAACTTTCCAAATTAAGAGACTAAAGAGACACAACAAACAATGCAGTATGTGGTCCTAGACCAGATTATGTATTGGAGAGGAGAAAATGGCTGTAAAGGACATTATTGGGTCAACTGACAAACCTGGAATACAACCAGTAGATTAAATAAAGTATTATATCAATGTTAAATTTACCTAAGTTTATATAAAAATATCTTTAGTCTTAGGAAATCTATATTGAAATATTTAAGGATAAAGGGCCATGGCGTAGGCAACTTACTCTATTTTTATTGAGATATAATTTATAAGGTTTTCAATTTTATGATATACTTTTAAATGTATTACCAGAAGATCCCATATCTTAACTCCAGAATGCTATGTGGTATCTTCATTAAGAAGTATAATTTCAAGTTGGCACCCAGATGAATGGAATCCCTCTGAAATCACAGCAGCTAGGTAGGTGCAGAGATGTGATACTTGTTTGGGGACTGCAGCACGGGGGATTCATATTCCAGAGTGTAAAACACTTGATCTGAAGTTACCAATGCATAAAGTAAAACATACTTGTAATCATTCTTGAGACATAGTAATTGATATGCATCATCAGGGCTAACACACTGCTATCCGTTCCAGTTAATTAAGAGCATAAAAAGGGTACTGCTCATAGTGTAGAGCAAAAAGAGGTTTTTATACTTACTGAAATCAATGTTTTCCTAATTCAGAGCAACACTGGAGAACCATATAGTTCAGTGTAACTTAATTGATACAAGTGGATGTTCTAGAGCCAGACTACCTGGCTCAAATCCTAACTCCACTGCGTACCACCTACATGACTTTTAGTAACTTACTTCACCTCTGTTTGTCTCAGTTTCTTCATTTGTAAAATAAGGATAGTAAAAATACCTATGTCACAGTGTTGGTTAAGGATTACATGGGTCAACAGCTTTTAAACACAAACGCGCCTGTCCATGGTAAATACTCCATGACTGTTAGTTTTAATATGAATTAAATGTTGCACTATCGGAAAATTTCTATATAAGGAAAGGATGCGAGGTCAAGGTATCTGAACATTGATACTCACCTATAACACAGAAGGGCTTTCGGGCAAACCTCAGTCTTCCTTGCCATCCTCTATACCGACAACAACAACCTGCAGACCAGATGCGAATGATGAACTCCAAACCAAAGACGACAATCATCACGAACTCCTGGAATATCGAATAAGACATGTATGAGAGAGGTATTATGGAACAAACCATAGCAAGAAGCTCTACGGGTGTTTCTGGATATTTAGGCACTTCATCTAAAACATCTATTTGTTAAATGTCTAAAGTTAAGAACATCTCTTTTCCAAGAAGATATTTTCCTAGAAGATATTGAAACCTTGTATTGTCTGCATTTGGTATCATGGAATGCCATTCCTTTTCAAGTCTCTAACACTTTGCAAATTAGGAGTCAGTTTTAACACTAAGTGTGCAGGCTGAATTACGGATTTGCCTTGTCTGGAATATAGACTATAGCTGAATTTAGCTACTTGGTGAAATATCTGAAATGAAAGAGAGGACCCTGAAAACATAGCTTTACAGTTTTACAGAAAACAGAGCTTCACTTTGCTGCGAGGGGTGACACAATCTCTAAGCTCTTAAGAGCTGTTTTCAGAGAAAAAGAGCTAAATATTTAGAAGTATGAATTCTTTTGTTATGGTGTCCAAATCTCTTTATAACAGCAAATTTCAAAAACATTACTGCATGTGTGGCACATGTATCCTTTGCCAGAAATGAGACTCTAAATTCTTCGGATCTGAAGTTTGTTAAGTATTATGCTGCGCTTTGGTGAGAGCTGCATAGAAAATAACACCTGTTCCAGCAAAATGACTTTGAGATTATTTAGGAAGACTTATGAGTAAACCTTGGGGCAAGGCTGACTAAAGTGACTCATTAAGCAGTGGGCCATAGAATGAGAAACCAAATGGAATTTGTAAGAAAGAAGTATCTCTGGAACAAGCTTATCATAGTCACCTCATTGTCCCTATAGAGACAGGCACTGAGTTGATCAAAATTGGTTTTCCTTTAAAAAATAATGTCCTCCCTTGTTTTTAACTCAGAATTTATAATGCAGAACAATATTTATTGATTGAATTTTACTATAATAGCTTAATTATAAAAGTCATGTATGGTCTTTATTAAAACATTCAAACATTGCAGGAATATAGAGCATAGAAAGTGAAGGTCCTAATCCACTCCCCATTCTCCCACTCTATGAAACAAAATAAAAACTGTTATCAAATTTAGAAAAATGGCATTTTTGTTGCAAATTTCAGGCAAATGTCTATTTCTTCAGTTAGAGCATGTGATGATGTGTTGCACTTTTGAAATGCCTGGTAGAGATATATCATTCTATCCTGTTATTTTGTGCTGAGTAATCCACAAATATTTCTCATAATGGGAAATAAATCTTCAATACCATTACTGCTTACTTACAGTGACTGAGAGCTATCTGTGGGATAAATCTCCGAAGATTACTTTATGCGGATAACTAAAACTATGGTCAATATACATTCATTAATGAGGGTTTTGTTTTGGCTTTATTTTGATTTTGAGTATATATCTAGGTAATTGAATCAATTCATTCATTAAGCTGGCTGCCATATGATATCACCTGTTTCTGATCCAGTACATTTTCCCATGTGTAGGAAGCATCTTGAGGCCCAAGATGCCCATGTAGCTGTGCCTGTGCCCCATCCAGGTTTAATGGCAAGTCCACTTTTCTATTGCTGCCCGGCTCTTATCTGTGTCAAGAAGTTTGGCACACCTCTAGTGAGAGTCCATATTATAAAAGATACTCAAGAAAATCCCAAATGTGGCCTGAGTCCCAAGGCACAACCATATCACAATTTTTCTTTTTTCGTGGGAATAGCTGACACCAAAAAATATATGATCATTATTCTAAAGTAAGGGAGGCTGCCTCTGCACCATTTCTATGTTGCACTGAGGCAGGATAAATTAAATCTACAAATTCTTTACTCAGGGCCTCTTGTTCAGGAATATTGCTTGTTACTTTTTTTTTTTTCTTTTTAAAAGTTTAAGAAAAAAATCCTTCATTTCCAAATAAAGAGGAAGTTATAATCCGATTTCACCATGGGGTCACAACTTCTGCTTTGGGAGAGAAGAATTCTCTTTTCCTTGCTAGACCATTTCTTAGTATTCTCTATGATGGCTTAGTTTCAGACTATGTGAAAAATAACCTCAAAAATCTCCAGTCACTGAGTAAGCAGCAGTGAGAGAGGAGAGCTCAGCAGATTGTGGGGCGTTTATTTCAGGCCCAGAGCTGTAGGCTGTGGGAATGTCCTCTTTGGAAGATTTGGGCTTGTGTGATAGAGAACAAAAGTGTGAAAATCACTTTGAGCAGATTCTGTCTCTTGGTTCCTGAAATTTCCATCTTATTTCAATAAAAAGGAACAAAGTGCTACTGAGCCAGAGAAGGGAAATCATCCCTAATCTGACAGATTTAGAATAAGTGGGGAATGGAAGTGTGAGAAGACCAATTTTTCTCTTTTTTTCCCCGCCTTTGTCCAGCTCTGTTGAAGTATATAAAATAAAATTGTATATATTTAAGGTGTACCATGTGATGTTTTGATATACATATGCATTGTGAAATAATTACCATGACCAAGCTAATTAACAAATTCATAACCTCACAGTTAACATTTTTGTGTTAACATTTTTGTGCGAGAACAGTTAAAATCTACTTTCTTAACAAATTTTCAGTATACAATAAAATATTATTAATGATGGCTACCATGGTGTAAATCAGATATCCAGAACTTATTCATCTTGCAAAACTGAAATAGAAACATTTCCCCACTTCCCCAACACCTAGCCTTGGTGAACACCATGCTACATTGTTTTTATGAGCTCAACTTTTTTAGATTCCACATATAATTGAGGTTGTGCAGTATTTGCCTTTCTCTATCTGGCTTATTTCACTTAGTATAATGTCCTTCAGATTCATCCATGTTATTACAAATGGCAAGGATTTCCTTCTCTTTTAAGGCTGAATAATATTCCATTGTACATGTACATCACATTTTAAAAAATCATTTGTCCATCAATGAACACTTAGATTGTTTTCATGTCTTGGCTTTTGTGAATAATGCTGTAATGACAGTAGGGGGTGCAGATATTTCTTCAAGATCCTGACTTCATTTCCCTTGGATATATGCCCAGGAGTGGGATTGTTGGATCATATGGTAGTTCTAATTTTAATTTTTTGAGGAAACTCCATACTGTTTTCCACAGTGGTTGCACCTATTACATTCACACCAACAGTGCACAGGGATTTCCTTTTCTCCACATCTTTGTCAGCACTTGTTATTTTTTTGTCTTTTTGATAATATACTCTAACAGGTATCAGATGACATATCACCGTGGTATTGATTTGCATTTTCCTGATGATTAGTGATGTTAAACATCTTTTCATATATCTGTTGATCATTTGTATGTCTTGTTTTGAGAAAGGTCTATTCAGGTCCTTTTACCATTTCTTTAATTGGGTTATTTATTTATTTATTTTTGCTGTTGAGTTAGAGAAGTTCCTTACATATTTTAGATATTAACTCCTTATCAGATGTTCGGTGTGCAAATGTTTTCTCCTATTCTAGAGGCTGTCTCATCATTCTGTTGATTGTTTCTTTTGTTGTACAGAGCTTTTCATTTGATGCAATTCCATCTGTCTACGTTCGCTTTTGTTATCTGTGCTTTTGGGGTCTTATCCAAAAAATCGTTGCCTACAACCAATGTCAAGAAGTTATTTCCTTATGTTTTCTTCTAGTAGTCTTGTAACTTTAGACCTTACATTTAAGTCTTTAATCCATTTTGAGTTGATTTTTCTATATGGTGTGAGATAAAGAAATTTTTTCTTCTGCACGTGGACATCCAATTTTACCACTTATGACATAAACTCTTCACAAGTTAGGAATAAAGGTTTATTATCTCAGTAACATCTGCAAAAACCTACAGCTAATGTCTTAATTAATGATAAAAGACTAAATGCTTTCCCCTAAAATAAAGTAAAGAAATAAAAGGCATAAAGATTGGAAATATAAAACAGTTTCCACTTGCAGATGACATTCTTGTCTACAGAGAAAAATCACAAAGAATCTGCAAAAACTTTTAGAATAATAAAGGTTACAAGATACAAGATCAATGTATAAATATCAATCACATTTCTGTATACTAACAATGAGGATGTGTTAAAATTAAAAAGTTAAAAGCACAATATCATTTATAACCATGCCAAAGAAAATAAAATGTTTAGCTACATACAACAAAACATATACAGTACATGCATGCTGAAAATTATAAAACTCCCAAATTAATCTGTGGGTTTAATAAAATTCTTGTTAAAATTTCAGCCAGTTTTTTTTGTAGAAATAAGTGAACTTGTTCTAAAATTTATATGGCAAAGCACAGATCCTAGAATAGGTTAAACAATCCCAGCAAAGAAGAATAAAATGGGAGGAATCTGTCTGTATAGCTCCAGTAATCAAGACTGTGTGGTATTGGCAGAGAGACAGACCCATAGAGAACAATGAAACAGAATAGAGACTTTGGAAGTATACCCAGGCAAATATGCTCAATTGTTTTTTGATAAAAGTACAAAATAAATTCAATGGAGAAAGATATAGCCTTTTCAACAAATGATGCTGATGCAATCAGTCATTAACAGGCCAAAAAAAAAAAAAAAAAGGATGAAAAAAATATATAAAAAAGAAAAAAAAAAAAAAAAAAAAAAAAAAAGAACCTCAATCTATACCTCATACTGACAAACTGTAGACTGAGAAAACATTTGCAAAGCACATATCTGACAAAAGACTAGTATTTAGAATATATCAAAACTCAAAATTCAACAGTGAAAAAATAAACAATTCAATTAGAAAATAGGCAAAAGACATGAACAGACATTTCACTAAAGAGATTATATGGATGGCAAAATGAATGATGATATTTATTTTAACTCCCATTATCATTGCAGCATTATTCACAATACCCAAGACATGAAATGGTATTCAACATAATTAGCTATATGAGAAATGATGCAAATTAAAACCACAATGAGATAGCACTACATGCCCATCAGAATGGTTAAAAAAATAATGACAGCATAAAATGCTGGGGAGAATGTGGAGAAACTGAATCACTCATATATA